CTAAACTCTAAACCCTGAACCCTAATAATAAGGTACATGGACCCTTTAAAAAAACTTGGCTTGTCAATGTTTAGGTTTTGGGTTGAGCAAGCCCTGTGGAACAAGCCACAGGCCTGTGTTGTTTGGTTTAGGGTTTAGGGTTTAGGGTTTAGGGTTAAGGGTTAAGGGTTTAGGGTTTAGGGTTTAGGGTTTAGGGTTTAGGGTTTAGGGTTTAGGGTTTAGGGTTTAAGGTTTGGGGTTTGGGGTTTAGGGTTTAGGGTTTAGGGTTTAGGGTAACGGTAGAAGCTTCAAGTGGCCAGGTTGCTGAAGGGTTGAAGTTTCGGGTTTACAGGGTTCAGGGCTTAGGAATTCCTGCAAACCCTAACGCCCAAAACCCTAAACCCTAAACCCTAAACCCTACACCCTAGGCCCTCCAAACCCTAAACCCTAAACCCTAAACCCTAAACGCGCAACCAGCCAGGCAGAGAATTCAACTCGCTTCGATCTGCTGCCTCGCCGGCTGCGGCAGCGCTGTCGGCACATTGCCGCGTCCGCACCTGCTCCCGGGTTTAGGGTTTAGGGTTTAGGGCTTAGGGTTTAGGGTTTAGGGTTAAGGGTTTAGGGTTTACGGTTTCGGGAACAGGGTTGAGGGCTTAGGGTAGGTTGAGGGCGTAGGGCTGAAGGCGCACCTTAAACAGCCCACGACCTGTTTTTGTTTGTCGGTTAACTTATTACTTTAAAACCCCCTAGGCTTACAGGATTCTTCAAGGTAAGCTACAACAAAAGGTAGGCTTTGGGTTCTGAAGTTGAGGCCCCAAACCCTAAACCCTAAACCCTAAACCCTGAACCCTAAACCCTAAACCCTAAACCCTAAACCCTAAAGAGGTTTTGTGTTCCTCAGGTGGACTTTAGGGCTTCGTGCGGCTTTTGGGCTTGGGACTAGGACGAAGAGGGGGACGCCCAGGGAAGGCTCCGCCAATGATCTCTACATGGAAGGGTTTAGGGTTTAGGGTTTAGGGTTTAGGGTTTAGGGTTTAGGATTTAGGGTCAGGGTTGAGTGAACCAAGAAGAGCAACCAAACCCCTGAGGCCCCAAACCCTAAACTCTAAACCCTCAACCCTCAACCCTCAAGAGGTAGGGTTTGTGTCTTTCAGGTGGACTGTAGGGCTTCGTGCGGCTTTTGGGCTTGGGATCAGGACGAAGTTGGGGACTCCCAGGGAAGGCTCGTCCAATGATCTCTATATGGAAGGGTTTAGGAGTTTAGGGTTTAGGGTTTAGGGTTCAGGTTTAGGGTTTAGGGTTTAGGGTTTAGGGTTTAGGGTTTAGGGTTTAGGGTTTAGGGTTTAGGGTTTAGGGTTTAGGGTTTAGGGTTTAGGGTTTAGGGTTTAGGGTTTAGGGTCAGGGTTGAGTGAACCAAGAAGAGCAACCAAACCCAAACCTGGCAGACCTTATCTCCGACAGGTCCCACACATCTCCAAGCCTTGCAGCCCTTACGGCCTTAGGGCATCAAATAGCCCTAAAAACTAAGCCCTAAACCCTAAACCCTAAGCCCTAAAAACTAAACCCTAAACCCTACACGGCCCTACACACCCCTGAAGAGCCTGGTGGCAGCAGCTCATCCTCTGTCCAAGTGCCTACAACGCATCGGCCCGCTTCGTACCTGAGGTTGGGGGAGTTGGGGGGGGGGGGGGGGGGGGGTTAGGGTTTAGGGTTTAGGGTCTAGGGTTTAGGGTTTAGGCTTTAGGGTTTAGGGTTTAGTGTTTAGGGCTTCCTGTTAACATGCCAGATGCCAGAATATACCCGGATGAGGCACCCTCACGTCCGTAATGCTGGGTGACGGGTACTGCGCGGAAACGAATCTAACTCGCTGCGCCGCAAATAAGAGGAGGTCCTCATGGACGTGCGTCCCAAACAAACTAAACCCTAAACAGTAAACCGTAAACCCTAAACCCTAAACCGAAACCCCAAATGCTCATCAATAGCATGGTGTTGTAGGGACTGAGTGAACCCTACTGGAATCATGCACCCTATGGCCGGAACAATAGGTCAGCATTCTACAGGTCTTATCATTGCAGTGACAGGTAGCAAGCACACTAGTCGTACAATCTGCAAAACGTACGTGACATGTTACACGAGGCAGTGTTGCTCGGCTTGTGATAGCACTCCTGCCGCAGCAACAGCAACGAATTAAACAAGAAAAACTGTACAAAAAAAACGACTATGGTGTAGGTTCTGTGATAGTAAGAAATCCCCTTCTTATGGAATCTTAAAGGACCTTTAGGCCAACCCCTGATATGGATTAAAAGCCTTTTAGGGTTCAAGTCGCCAATAGATAGGGGCGAAACGGCTTAGGGTTCAGCCACCCTGTCACACCCTCCGAAACCCGAAACCCTGAACCCTCAATCCTATGCATCTACTGTCTACACGCTCCCTTAAAAACCCCATCTGCGAGTCCCACGCTGCAGTTACTAGCGTTTAGGGTTTAGGGGCACTACAGCGTCTCATGGTTTTGGGGTTTAGGAGGTTTTGGGCTTGAGGGTGGAGCCCCGTGGTTTCCCCTCAAGGCCTGTATCAACGCCTGAACGCGGCAATCCCCAAAGCATGAAGCACCAAACAGGAAGGCCCCCATGCGCCATGAATCTGTGCTCTTGTGGAGGCTATTGGTACGCATGAGTTTTGGAACACCCCTAAACCCTAAACCCGCCAAGACAAAGCTCCGGTGGCCTCTTTTACACGTGCGCGTGACGCGTTTGCTGGATGTCAAGGAGACTTCGGGTGAGGCGATCAAAGCTCAGCAGCAAGCACCGCTTCAGTTCCACCAGCCTTTTTCTTTAAACCTAGCCTTCACCCCCTAACCCTAAACTGAGCCCAGCTACGTACTGCCGGTACTTCGGGACAACCCAAGCTGCCCGCAGGCTCACATGCCCCCGAGCACGGTCTTGGCACGGATGAGGCTTTCCTTCTCCTGCGGGTGTAATTTGGGGCTGTAGCTATTCTACGTTATCAACGCCGAGCCTGAGCAATCAAGTCCTCAACCCGAAACCGTGAACCCTAAACCCCAAACCCTAAACCCCCCTAAACCCTAAACCCTGCACCCAAAACCCTACCTTACTTTAATTACACCTGAGGCTCTGGTGCTGTGCCTCTTTGGGGTTCGCTTTAGGGCTATGGGTCCTCAACCCTAACCTCTGAGACCTCTGAATCAAAGTAGGATCCTGCAACTAAGGGTATTTTTGAGCTCAGAGTGAGGGGGAAAGCTCCTGAGTCACTAAAGAGGCCTGTCAGCTGGCAGAATTTCATTAGGGTTTAGGGTTTAGGGTTTAGGGTTTAGGGTAACCCACGTCTTTGGATGACCGCACAGGAAACGGATCGAGCCGAAAAAGACGTTGGGCTCCCATTCTACAGTAAACAATAGGTTTCAGCCGTGGACTCGCCAGCCTATGGGGGGGCCTTTTATCAGCATATATAGATACTGAGTTTATACTAGGGCTATCCAGGGATGAAAGGACGATCTTCGAAATATTTGATAATCATTGAGGGCCCATGTCCACAAAAAGCCCTGCTGCTTCGGGTCCTTTGGGCTTCGGCTGGGGATTTTGGAACCTCCCAAATCATCTACATAGGGTTTAGGGTACAGGGTTTATGGGAACTTACATCCCTACTAAAGCCTAAAGCCTAAAGCCTAAAGCCTAAACCCTAAACCCTAAACCCTAAACCCTCCTCAGTGCGAGCTTGCTCGCGGAGGTCGAAGTGCTCCAGCAGCCAGTCGCACTCGGCATGGAGGTCAGAGGTGTACCTGAATTAGCAGGGTAGGTCGGGTTTAGGGCTTAGGGCTTAGGGCTTAGGGCTTAGGGCTTAGGGCTTAGGGCTTAGGGCTTAGGGCTTAGGGCTTAGGGCTTAGGGCTTAGGGCTTAGGGCTTAGGGCTTAGGCTTCTTAGAGGGTTTAGGGTTTAGAGGTCAGATGTGTACCCTGGAGTTTACGTTTCTAGGTTTGAAGGATTTAGGGTTCAGGCTTAGAGGTTCCTGGGCTTCGAGGGTTGACCCTAAACCCTAGCCTAGACCCTATAAACCCTGAACCGCGGGGGGGGGGGGGGGAGGTTAGTAGCCCCAAACCCTAGACCCCAACCCCAAACCCCAAACCCCCCAAACAAACCCTAAACCCTAACCCTAAACGGGGGGGGGGGGGGGGTAGTAGGGCAACCCATGCATTTTGGGCTTCGGGCAAAGAATCGAACAGGCATCAGGGGTTTTCAGACCCTTGGCCTGCCCAAAGGGATTTGTGGGTTTGTGGGTTTGGGGCTAGGGTTTGGGGTTTAGGGTTTAGGGTTTGGGGTTTAGGGTTTAGGGTTTGGGGTTTAGGGTTTAGGGTTTGGGGGTTTAGGGATTCAGGGTTTCGGGTTTAGGGCTTCGGGTCCCCTTTTTATGTGGTTCAACATCTCGTTAGGTGACGTCGAACCAACGAAGCCCTCGAATCATCGCCGGTCCTAAACCCTAAACCCTAAACCCTAAACCCTAAAGCCTGTTCCAGGGCCTGAGGCCACGAGTATAAGAGTGAGTCTCGAGGGGACCTTAGAGACCCAAACACTAAAGGGTTTAGGGTTTGAGGGCTAGGGTTTTAAACTCCTGGCTCTCAGCTCAAGACGCCTTGCCGCGTGGTTTGGGTTTGGGGTTTCGGGTTGAGGGTGTTTCGGGTTCATTTTGTAGTACGGGTACTGGGCGGAAGTTGAAGGGAAGCCTGTGAGACTCTTCTTACGCCCTCCGTAAAGTCTGGCACCCTTACAGCAAGAATCTACCAAGGGGCTTAGGGTTTAGGGTTTAGGCCACAATTTTGAGAATGGCCCATACGCTTTGTCTGGCTCTTACGAACCACAGGAAGCCAGCTACACATGCATCAATCTTCAAATGGAGCGTCAGGCTACTGCAAGATGTCCCTCAATTCGCTAGATTCGCGAAGAGTGACTAGGGCGTGTCACGAAGCTGCCAGGGGCCTCATCAATGCAGGGTGAACACGAACACTCGCCTCATGTGACTGCATATCCAAGTCGCTCCTGGAATGAGCGGTAACGTGACAAGAGCTCTGGGTGCAGGGAGGGCACGTACTTGCTCACTTCCTCCTCACACTCTTCATCGTTCATGTGGCTGGAATCACTGGAATCCCTCGGGAAACGATTCAAGTCTGCAAACTTTGTCACGTTGAGAAGCAGGCTGTGCTGCTCCGAAGTTAGGTGGTCCTCGAACAAGAAGCTCATCATCTCTTCAACCTGCTCGTCGAAACCCTGTGAGGATCCGGCGACCTTCTCGTAGACTAGGTGGAAGGTATCATTGACTGGCTGCTCAAAGGCACTCGTCATGTTTTCGATGAGGGCTAGCATCCGCTCTGCAACAAACTTGAGTCCTTCCTTGGGACCCAGCTGCAATAAGGTTCCTTCGGGATAGAACATGGCGTTGTAGGGCTCCATGCCCCGATGGTGATAGCAGTATGCTGAGACGATCATGGACACAGGATCTCGCACGATTCCCACGACGCGAATGCCTTTTGCACCGGCAGCTTCTCGTGCCTCCTGTGCTCTTTCGGCGGAGTAGAGGTCAATCCAGATCTGGAGCGGTGCCTCGGGGAAGAGGCAAGTAAAGGGATAACACGGCTGAATCCAACGGCCCATGTCCCCTTCCTTCGCCCCAAGGGCATAGAAGACCATCTTGAAGAGAGTATCCAGGAGATAGACACCGGCCTTGTGATGACAAGCAAAGATGTACTTGTGGTGAAGGAGCCAGGGCTGCGACAAAAGTTCACTCTGGGCTGTTGAGTTGTTGGGCGCTGGAGCAACTCGTGGCAGCACCTTCCGTTGGACAAAGTTCAGTGCATTGGACTCCTCGGTGAAGCCGGAACAGCTCCAAGCTGAACAAAGAAGCCCGAGCAATAGCCGCTGAGCAGTCGGCTGCATGGTGATAGGAAGGGAAAGCGTATGAATGAAATTTGCTCTTCAGGCTAGCAGCAGGGTTGTCTGAGCCTTAAAGGCAGCCGGCGACAGGGACATGTTATGAGCAGCTCTGGAGGTTAGGGAATCTGCAGACCTTTCCTTCATTTGTTCCAGGCAGCTTGGTGGGAAATTGCGAACCCTGCAGCACCCCCCCCCCCCCCGCTTCCTGCCACAATAAAAGGAGTTACACGGTATAAGATATACGTTTTGACTAGACATAGCTATGGTTCTTCTGCTCGTTTCCCAAGTTCTTAGTAAGCCCTCACCCTAAAACCCTAAACCCCCAGCATCCTAAACTCTTTAACCTTAGAAGTTGGGATGTTCCCCCTTATACTAACAGTCCTAAATAGGGATTATTGTAACCTATGAGAATCCCTATATACTAAAGGGAACATCCGCCCGCCCTAAGCCCTTCACCCTCTACCATTTCGACCCTTGCTGTCTTCATGATTTGTTGAAGGAGGGTCACTTCGCCGCAGCCGTCAACTCCTGATGTCGGGGGCTGGCCAAGGGAGCTTGCTTCCTCTCCTTCTCCGGCCCTCCCCTCCCCCCGCCCAATAAAAAACTCAAACTCTAAACCCTAAACCCTACACCCTAAACTTCAAACTCTAAACACCACACCCGAAAGAGACCCCCAAGCCCCCAAGTCCTAAACCATCAACCGAAACCACACGCACTGACAGGTCTTAGCTGCAACGAGCAGGGGCCCTGCATAGGTGACCGCCCTTAGATACCCCCTACAAGCCTTATCAAGCCCCAAGGGGGCCCTTACTTCAGAACCCTTTAAAGAAGGTAAGGGACCAAATCAAGGGGCCATGTAACTACCCTTAGAAGCAAATGAAACACATGACCCTCTGTCGGGGGCCTAGTTCACAAAGAACTTAGGGCCAAACCCCCCCCCTAAGCCGCCAACCCCCTAAACCCCAAGCTATATCGTAATTGAATACATACTTCCGCTATTGTGACTTGATATGGATATATATATATATATATACATATATATATATATATGTATGAGCGACTGACAAAACCCTGTGTTCGGCGAACGTTGCGCGACTTGCTTGGTGGACCTCTATCGATTTTCGAGGATTAGCAACCTGACAAATGCAGCCCCTCTTCGATAACATTGGGGTGTTTTTGGGCGGGCCCCTACCGATTTTCGAGGAAAAGTACAAAACAAATAAACAGAAGGCATGCAACGTCGAGACAAGATTGGGTTTACATTAGTTTTGTCCGATGCTCATCTATTGTCTTGTATTCTCTACATAACGGCTTAGGGTTTATGAGTGCTTACCAGGGTCACCAATTGCCCAGTTTGGGGAGTAGCCCCTGCACTCCGAACCCCACGGCGTGTCATTGGGTTGACTACTTGGAGGTCCGGAGTACGTGTAGCATACCCTAAACCCTAAACCCTTGACCTAAGTAGTCGAGGCTATCATGATGAACGCTCGGCCCTAAAGAAGTGAAGGTAGTATGACAGTGCCCTGCACCTCCAAGCGGAGGAGGGGTGCCAGGGTCGAGGTTTGGGGTCCTGGGGTGTAGCCCTAAACCCTAAACCCTACACCCTAAACCCTAAACCCTGAACCCTGAACCCTGAACCCTGAACCCAAAACCCAAAACCCTAAACCCTAAAGGCCCTAAACCCTATGAGTAAAGGGGTTGAGGGTCCCATCATCCAGCCTGCTTCTTGCCCGCGTTCTCCTTCTGGTCATCGTTGAGATCCCCCTGGCAACTATGAATCATCGGGTTCTTAAGGGAGGGAGGCTTAGGGTTTCGGGTTTAGGGTTTAGGGTTCGGGGTTTAGGGTTTCGGGCTGAGGTAACCCAAGGTTCTCTAATACTCCCACTACTCCCTAAAAAGCAAGGGCGCAACCTAACATTTTAATGGTTTAGGCTAGGGTTTAGGGTTTAGGGTTTAGGGTTTAGGATTTAGGGTTTAGGGTTTAGGGTTTGGGGTTTGGGGTTTGGGGTCTGGGGTGTGGGGTTTGTTGTTTGGGGGTTGGGGTTTGGGGTTTGGGGTTTGGGGTTTAGTGTTTAGGGTTTGGGGTTTGGGGTTTGGGGTTAGGGGAAGTAACTTAGGAATAAAACCCAAAAAGGCCGCCTACTCTGGGGATCCCGGACTCCGTAAAAAGGGCTTAGGGCTTAAGGTTTGAGGTTTAGGCCCTCGTGTGTAAAACGTGAGCCCTAAGCTAAGCCTGTACGACTGTACGGCCGAAGCGTCTGTGCCCTGCATGCAAGAAACCCTGAACCCAATCCCCCCCCCCCCCGTCCCAAAAACAAATAGTATACAAAAGGAAGCCCTAAAAACTAAGCCCTTAACAGCACAATCGAACCCCTAGGCCCTAATGAAGCGCTAAACCCCTAAAAAACCCCAAGCCCTAAACCAGCCCTTGAGAAATCACAGCCTTGGGAAGTTCCCCCTTCTACTAACAGTACTAACAGTTCTTAGTAGGGATTGTACTAGTGGGGGGGGGGACTAGAATCCTTACTAAGCACGATAAGTATAAAGGGAGAACATCCACCACCCAAACCCTAAACCCTAAACCCCAAACATCCCGATCTCAACCCCAGGAGGGATGCCTCGAGGTCGGCTTTGTCCTGTGCCTTCGAGGCGGCCAGGGCCATGTCGGCCTGACACGAAGCGTCGGCGAGTTTTTCCCCCAAGACGTTCTTCTTGGCCCCAAAGAGTCGATTCCGTAAAACCGGGAGCCCTAAACCCTAAACCCTAAACCCTGTAGGGTGTGAGGACTCAGGAAGGCTTCGGAGGGTTTCGAGGGCGAGGAAGTTTCAAGGCGATTTTTGGGCATTCGGAATCAATGCTTCATGATCCCGATCATGCCCTACAAAGAGCCTTTGTTGCGTTCAACCCTAAACCCTAAACCCTAGACATTAAACCCGAAATCCTAAACACCCAAACCCGACTCTCAGAAATCCTTATACCCTGATACTAGGATGGCCCTTAAGACCCTCTTAAAAAAGTCCTAAACATGATCCTCTTAAACCAGATAAGGGAAAATGTGAAACAACCCCAAGGGTTTACCCAGGCTATGTAGAGTTTAGGGTCTAGTTCCATGGTCCCTTGATACAGGCCCTCACACTTGGAAAACCCTGATAAACCCTTATAGACCACGAAACTACCCTTCGACCTTTAAGACCTAAATTAGATCCGAAGCCCTAAGCACCTCTCTCTTCTTGGCTGCATCGGCCACCGTCTCTTGGTAGTCAGCCTGGCTAAAGCGCGCTAGGGGCCTCCTGAACCCTAACTTAGTTGTTGAGTTCATATGCCCCCCGCCCCAAAAAAAAGTGTACACATTCAGTTCTAAAGGGGATTATCGTATCCCAAAAAGTGTAAAGTGTACTTATTCAGCTACTAAGCTGAAACCCTAAGCCCTGATTGAAACCCTAAAATCTGCAAAAGAGTCCAAACTCTCCAAACTCTATAACCACTCAGCCCCATGCCACCCTCGTTTATAGGGCCTGCATAGGGTGTAGGGCCAGTTTAGGGTTGAGGGTTGAGGGTCAACCCCTGGTTGAGTGGGGCTTGATTAGGGTTTAGGGTTCTGGCCCACGCAAAAAAGTGGCCCTAAACCCTAAACCCTAAACCCTAAACCCTAAACCCTAAACCCTCGTGGGGAGCCCTAGGCTCGGGCTGAGGCTTTGTTTTGGGAGGAGTTGGGGAAATAGGGGGTACCCTTTTTGGGGGGCTTAGGGTTTCGGCTTTTGGGTTTAGGGTTTAGGGATAGGGGTGCCCCTGTTGACCCGAGAAGATCCTTGGTGAACTCACTCACAGCGTGCCGTGAAGTTGGAGCACTGAGCCCAGCAGTCGACAAGGGTCGCGCATGCGTGATGTGAAGGTTTTCACCTCTCAACGGCTGATAGCGCGCCGTTGTTGCGGCAACAATAGCCCTAAACCCTAAACCCTAAACCCTAAACCCTAAGCCCTAAACCCTAAACCCTAAACCCAAACCTGTAGACTTCAGGTCTGACAGTCGCGCCATCCAAGCAGATTTCTGCTGGCCACCACTAGTGAGACCTTGTGGCCATCACGGTCCAACCTGGGCCATCACGGTCCAACCTGGACCAGTGCCACTGTACCCAACAGGAACATGAAACCAAGTCGCACGTCCGCGAGAAAACCAAGGCACGCGCACCAAGAGAGCCGTTGCAGGCGCTTTCAACCCAGAGGGGGTCCATTTGTAGTACTCTCATGGAATTAGGTACCCCAAAACCCTTGTTAGTATGGTTTTTGGGTACCTAATTCCATCATAGTGCTACAATTGACCCTCTGGGCAAGGTCTGGCAAGTTGACAGCTCGGTAGGCGTAGACACAAGACTCCCCGGCTGGCCCCACTGGTTTAGGGTTTAGGGTTTACGGTTTAGGGATCTTTACTACAGGCCTCCTGCTTTCTTCGGGTCTCTAGTATAGTGCATTCTTTGGTTTAAGTACTTGTTCACAGGCACCACGAGCAGGCGAAAGCGACTGCAACAACGAAGAAGCCCAAAGCACCACGTGCTCCAGGCGTGCGGATGGCGTATGTCTCTTGAACCTGTTCTTGAGGAACACAGGCACGGTCCCTAAACCCTAAACCCTAACCCTACACCTCAGGCTGTTGGAGTTTTCATGAGACCAGGCCAGGCAGTCACGCACACCATGACACATCGGCACAGCCAAGCAACGACGTTTACGGAATACCTAACAACTAGACCCAGAAGTAACCTAGGAATAAAAAGGGTGCCCTTTTTGGTTTAAAGGGGGTTCTGAGGGCCCTGCACTCTACACCCTAGAAAAGGGAATCAGGGCCTGCTCTGGGTCCGGGGGCAAGGGGGGGGGGGGGGGGAACCCCAAACCCTACACGCTAAACCCTAACCCTAAACCTGAAGTGCAAACAAAGGGGAAATTCAGTGGCAAACACGAGGATGAGCCTAAGCACGGTGCTTGGATCGAGTGTCGTTGTCGGGTTTCAG